AGAAACTAAACTAGTGACAGATAAATATGAAATAAGTATAGATTATGATTTATTGATGCATTAGGAATGTTTTTTATTCATACCGTCTTTCTTCATCAGTTTTAGTACATACATATGTGACAGTTGATTTTATTCAGAAAAATTGTCCAATTTAGACATTTTGTAATTTATACTATATCACTAGAAACTAGTGATAGCTCAATATGAAATAAGTATGGATTATGATTTCTTGATGTATTAGGAATGCTTTTTATTCACAACGCCTTTCTCCATCAGTTTTAGGACTTAGATTATAGTTGATTTTGTTATGAAAAATCGTCCAATTTTTACATTTTGTGATTTATGCTATATCACTAGAGACTAATGATATTGATAGATAAATATGAAATAAGTATGGATTATAATTTCTTGATGTATTAGGAATATTTTTTATTCATAACGTATCATCAGTTTTAGTACATACATATGTATATGACAGTTGATTTTATAAAGAAAAATGGTCCAGTTTTTATATTTTGTTATTTATGCTATATCACTAGAAACTACAGGTAGCTAAATATGAAATAAATATGGATTATGATTTATTGATGCATTTGGAATGCTTTTTATTCACAACGTCTTTCTCCATCAATTTTAGGACTTAAGTTATATTTATTATGAAAAATATCATTAGAAACTAGAAATACTATATCACTAGAAACTAGTGATAGCTCAATATGAAATAAGTATGGATTAATTTCTTGATGTATTAGGAATGCTTTTTATTCACAACGCCTTTCTCCATCAGTTTTAGGACTTAGATTATAGTTGATTTTGTTATGAAAAATCGTCCAATTTTTACATTTTGTGATTTATGCTATATCACTAGAGACTAATGATATTGATAGATAAATATGAAATAAGTATGGATTATAATTTCTTGATGTATTAGGAATATTTTTTATTCATAACGTATCATCAGTTTTAGTACATACATATGTATATGACAGTTGATTTTATAAAGAAAAATGGTCCAGTTTTTATATTTTGTTATTTATGCTATATCACTAGAAACTACAGGTAGCTAAATATGAAATAAATATGGATTATGATTTATTGATGCATTTGGAATGCTTTTTATTCACAACGTCTTTCTCCATCAATTTTAGGACTTAAGTTATATTTATTATGAAAAATATCATTAGAAACTAGAAATAGCTAAATATGAAATAAGTATGGATTATGATTTCTTGATGCATTAGGAATATTTTTTATTCATAACGTCTTTCTTCATCCGTTTTAGTACATATGTATGTGATAGTTGATTTTATTAAGAAAAATGGTCCAATTTAGACATTTTGTGATTTATGATATATCACTAGAAACTAGTGATAGATAAATATGAAATAAGTATGGATTATGATTAATTGATGCATTAGGAATGTTTTTTATTCACAACCTCTTTCTTCATCAGTTTTAAGAGTTAGGTTATATTTAGTTGATTTTGTAATGAAAAATCGTCCAATTTTAACGTTCTGTGATTTATGCTATATCACTAGAAATTGGTGATAGATAAATATGAAATAAGTATGGATTATGATTTATTGATGCATTAGGAATATTATGTGACAGTTGATTTTATAAAGAAAAATCGTCCAATTTTTACATTTTGTGATTATAGCATAAATCACAAAAACACTAGTTTCACTAGAAACTAGTGATAGCTAAATATGTATGGATTATGATTTATTGATGCATTAGGAATATTATGTGACAGTTGATTTTATAAAGAAAAATCGTCCAATTTTTACATTTTGTGATTATAGCATAAATCACAAAAACACTAGTTTCACTAGAAACTAGTGATAGCTAAATATGAAATAAGTATGGATTATGATTTCTTGAAGCATTAGGAATATTTTTTATTCATAACGTTCATCAGTTTTAGTACATATGTATGCGACAGTCGATTTTATAAAGAAAAATGGTCCAATTTAGACATTTTGTGATTTATGATATATCACTAGAAACTAGTGATAGATAAATATGAAATAAGTATGGATTATGATTTATTGATGCATTAGGAATGTTTTTTATTCGCAACGTCTTTTTCTATCAGTTTTAGCACTTAGGTTATAGTTGATTATGTTATGAAAAATCGTCCAATTTTGACGTTTTGTGATTTATGCCATGTCACTAGAAACTAGTGATAGATATATATGACATAAGTATGGATTATGATTTATTGATGTATTAGGAATGTTTTTTATTCGCAACGTCTTTTTCTATCAGTTTTAGCACTTAGGTTTAGTGGATTATGTTATGAAAAATCGTCCAATTTTGACGTTTTGTGATTTATGCCATATCACTAGAAACTAGTGATAGATATATATGACATAAGTATGCATTATGATTTTTTGATGCATTAGGTACATTTTTTATTAATAACGTCTTTCTGCATCAGTTTTAGTACTTACGATATAGTTGATTTTATTAGGAAAAATCGTCCAATTTAGACGGTTTGTGATTTATGCTATATCACTAGAAACTAGTGATAGCTAAATATAAAATAAGTATGGATTATGATTTCTTGAAGCATTAGGAATATTTTTTATTCATAACGTTCATCAGTTTTAGTACATATGTATGTGACAGTCGATTTTATAAAGAAAAATGGTCCAATTTAGATATTTTGTGATTTATGATATATCACTAGAAACTAGTGATAGATAAATATGAAATAAGTATGGATTATGATTTATTGATGCATTAGGAATGTTTTTTAGTCGCAACGTCTTTTTCTATCAGTTTTAGCACTTAGGTTATAGTTAATTATGTTATGAAAAATCGTCCAATTTAGACGGTTTGTGATTTATGCTATATCATTAGAAACTAGAAATAGCTAAATATGAAATAAGTATGGATTATGATTTCTTGATGCATTAGGAATATTGTTTATTCATAACTTTTTTCTTCATCAGTTTTAGTACATATGTGACAGTTGATTTCATTAAGAAAAATGGTCCAATGTGGACATTTTCTGATTTCTGATATATCACAACAATCTAGTGATAGACAAATATGAAATAAGAATCGATTATGATTAATTGATGCATTAGGAATGTTTTTTATTCACAACATCTTTGTCCATCAGTTTTAGGACATAGGTTACAGTTCATTTTGTTATGAAAAATCGTCTAATTCTGACATTTTGTGATTTATGCTATATCACTAGAAATTGGTGATAGCTAAATATGAAATAAGTATTGATTATGATTTCTTGATGCATTAGGAATATTATTTATTCATAACGTCTTCCTTCATTAGTTTTAGTACATATGTATGTGACAGTTGATTTTATTAAGAAAAATGGTCCAATTTAGACATTTTGTGATTTATGATATATCGCTAAAAACTAGTGTTAGATAAATATGAAATAAGTACGGATTATGATTTCTTGATGCATTAGGAATATTATTTATTCATAACGTCTTCCTTCATTAGTGTTAGTACATATGTGACAGTTGATTTTATTAAGAAAAATGGTCAAATTTGGACATTTTGTGATTTATGATTTATGATATATCACTAGAAACTAGTGTTAGATAAATATGAAATAAGTATGGATTATGATTTCTTGATGCATTGCGAATATATCTTTTTCTATCAGTTTTAGTACTTACGTTATACTTGATTTTATTAAGAAAAATCGTCCAATTGTGATGTGGCTGAAGTTAGCTTCACATTTAAATCCACAACAGATTCAGTTTTATAAAATTACCGTTGACCAACCAAGTAGTGAACGTGAATTTTAATTATTATTTTTCTCAAACCCCACGGAGTTTCGCCCCTTGCGACTAGTCTAGATAATTCGAACAGGTCCTCTAGTATGCAACCTACCTATGGGCATCCCCAGATTTACCGTAGGGGCGGCGGGGTGAATTTTTTGAGCAGACTCATTTTTACCACTAAACTAAGGATATAATTTCTTAACCCCTAGTGAATGTCGCATCCTGGAACTGGGCTAGATAAATCTGAAGCTAACTTCAGCCTGGTCCAATTTAGACATTTTGTGATTTATTCTATATCACTATAAACTGGTGATAGGTATATATAAAATAAGTATGGATTATGATTTCTTGATGCATTAGGAATATTTTTTATTCTTAAGTTAGTTCCAGTTTTAGTTCTATAAAAATATACAACAATCTAACGTTGAATAGCAACTACAATTAGATCTAACACTACCATTAGAACTAGAACTAGAGTTAGTTCCATTTTTAATTTTATAAAACTATATTACCTATATATACCGTCCTTTATTTATACATCGTATAGACATTTAAGGGAATACCCTGAGTTTATCTATGAACATGGAATAAAGCAGCGTTTTACAAAATTGCAGTATGTAATAAGAAGTAAAAACAAATAATTATAATAAATATACATATTCTCTTTTTTATCGATTTGCTTTTCCACTTCTTTAATATCGTGGAATATCTCAAAAATTTTCATAACAACATGACGTTTACTACACCTTATCTTTTTACTTTACGTTCTAGTAGAGATAACATATTTAGCTTTATTTTATAACTTGTAATTTACATAAATCAGATTTGTAAGGTTTTTCGAATTTAATCGTTTTTTAATTTAACCTCAATTTCATTATCAATATCCTGTTTTCAATATTAAAGAAAATCGTTGATTTTCTGAATAAATAAACATAATAACTCCTTTATTTCATCATAAATGTTAGTCATTTATGTGCAATAACATAAAAATCGTTTATTAGTTTTGTTTAAAAACAAAATTTTTTGAATTTGTTAAAATTGAAGCTCTTAACAAACTCTTTTTACAATAATTTCGTGAAATCGAAGAATTCTGGGCAATGCGAATAACAGAGAGAAGGAGAGAGAGTAACAAAGAACTTCTTTTCCATCATAAGAAAACTAAACGTCTTCGAGTTGAACAAATCGACAACGTCAGAACCGCGTGTTAGTTGGAAATCTGCACTCTCCTGGTGGAGCAGGAGCAGCAGACACAGTACAGCAGTAGATTTCAGCCGGTCGTGGCGATCGGACGCGTTTTAAAAATTGCCCGCAAGTAGTTCTGGTTGTACTCTATACATATTTATTAATTTACGTGTGTGTGAATGTTACTTGACATTTTGTGCTGCTCTGTGTTATTAAAAAAATGATTAAGTTTTACGTGCTGACAAGTTTTTTTAAATAATATCTTTAGTTTTTTTGTTACATTTTTATCCTTCAAAACAAGCAGGTAAAAATAATTTAATTTTTTATTTTTTTTGGGATTTTTGTGAATCCATTTTATATTTCTTGGAATGATACAAGTTGTTTAAAATTCAAGGACTACACATAATTTTTTTATTTAAATTTAGAAGGTGCGATTTTTTTAAGACATAATTTAAAAGAAAAAAATTTGTACGATTTTAATTAATTAAATTGCAAAACAATGCGCAGAATAAATTCGAAACCACAGATATCTTTTGATATCATCAAGGAAAAATAACCGCAAAATTGCGTTTCGAAATAAAAAATTAATCGGATGCTGCGATTCAAGTTCCGTTTAAAGTTCAAGGCTTAAATTATAATCTGCAACATTTTCATTCATAAAAATAATAGAATGAAATCGGGGATGAAACGATGAGAAAAATCAATAAAAGAAAACTTCTCTTTCTCACTCTATTTCCCAAGAATAAATTTCTCTCGTTTCTATCGTATTTGGAGATGAGTAAAAAGATGGGAAATAATTCTGACGTGTCGCAGGAACGTTTTTATTTTCCAATTTAAATTGAAACGACGCGTTTCGAGTCACGCTCTTTCCTTTACGTTAATTTGCTCAACGAAGCCTCGTTAAAGACTCGATTATTGTCGCACGCCCATAAAACTACGCTATACATATGAATTAGACTTTCTTCTCCTTCTTCTTTTATTACCAATCAGGACATTTTATTAGTGACAAACTTTTTTTTAATGACCCATTAAAAAAATCAATGAAACTGTTTACAAAATAAAATAGAAATACTTGTTTAAAATATATTAAGTATAATTAAACAATAATCATTTCATAATTTTAAGAAATAAAATCTGCAATTTTTTCTAATTAAACCATTTGTAAATAATGTAATCAACTAAAGCTAACAAGTTGAAGATATTACGTTTAGTTATTATGTACATTCGCTGTTTAAACATCCTTAAACAAAAGTTAACTACAAAAAACCGGGAGTGTTCGTTATATGAACAATTTTTAATTTGCACTCTTTAAATTTAATAAAAATATACAACAAGCGCTTAATAACAACTAAAACTATAGCCAACACTAGCACTAGAACTAACACTAGACCTAGAAATCTGGGTCTAGTGTTGGTTCCACTTTTAATTCTATAAAAGTATACAACAATCTAACGCTGAATAACAAATAAAACTAGAACTAACACTAGACCTACACCTAGAGTTAGTTTTATTTTTAATTCTATAAAAATATAGACGCACAGCTAAACTCGAATGTTTCTAGTTCTAGGTCTAGTGTCAGTTCTAGTTTTATATCATTAGAACTAACACTAGATGTAGAACTAGAACTTACGGCTAAACCCGATTGATTCTAGTTCTACATCTAGAGTTAGTTCCACTTTTAATTCTATAAAAATAGACAAAACTCTAACGCTAAACATCAACTAAAACAAGAACTAACACTAAACCTAGAACTAGAAACGTTCGTGTTTAGCAGTACATCTCTTAAGACGGCTAAACCCGAATGTTTCTAGTTCTAGGTCTAGTGTTAGTTCTAGTTTTATATCATTAAAACTAACATTAGACCTGAAACTAGAATCATTTGGGTTTAGCCGTCTTAAGAGACTTACGGCTAAACCCGAATGATTCTAGTTCTAAATCTACGGTTAGTTCCAGTTTTAGTTCTATAAGACGGCTAAATCGGAATGTTTCTAGTTCTGGGTCTAGTGTTAGTTCTAGTTTTATATCATTAAAACTAANCATTATTTTTTTATTTAAATTTAGAAGGTGCGATTTTTTTAAGACATAATTTAAAAGAAAAAAATTTGTACGATTTTAATTAATTAAATTGCAAAACAATGCGCAGAATAAATTCGAAACCACAGATATCTTTTGATATCATCAAGGAAAAATAACCGCAAAATTGCGTTTCGAAATAAAAAATTAATCGGATGCTGCGATTCAAGTTCCGTTTAAAGTTCAAGGCTTAAATTATAATCTGCAACATTTTCATTCATAAAAATAATAGAATGAAATCGGGGATGAAACGATGAGAAAAATCAATAAAAGAAAACTTCTCTTTCTCACTCTATTTCCCAAGAATAAATTTCTCTCGTTTCTATCGTATTTGGAGATGAGTAAAAAGATGGGAAATAATTCTGACGTGTCGCAGGAACGTTTTTATTTTCCAATTTAAATTGAAACGACGCGTTTCGAGTCACGCTCTTTCCTTTACGTTAATTTGCTCAACGAAGCCTCGTTAAAGACTCGATTATTGTCGCACGCCCATAAAACTACGCTATACATATGAATTAGACTTTCTTCTCCTTCTTCTTTTATTACCAATCAGGACATTTTATTAGTGACAAACTTTTTTTTAATGACCCATTAAAAAAATCAATGAAACTGTTTACAAAATAAAATAGAAATACTTGTTTAAAATATATTAAGTATAATTAAACAATAATCATTTCATAATTTTAAGAAATAAAATCTGCAATTTTTTCTAATTAAACCATTTGTAAATAATGTAATCAACTAAAGCTAACAAGTTGAAGATATTACGTTTAGTTATTATGTACATTCGCTGTTTAAACATCCTTAAACAAAAGTTAACTACAAAAAACCGGGAGTGTTCGTTATATGAACAATTTTTAATTTGCACTCTTTAAATTTAATAAAAATATACAACAAGCGCTTAATAACAACTAAAACTATAGCCAACACTAGCACTAGAACTAACACTAGACCTAGAAATCTGGGTCTAGTGTTGGTTCCACTTTTAATTCTATAAAAGTATACAACAATCTAACGCTGAATAACAAATAAAACTAGAACTAACACTAGACCTACACCTAGAGTTAGTTCTACTTTTAATTCTATAAAAATATAGACGCACAGCTAAACTCGAATGTTGCTAGGTCTAGTGTTAGTTCTAGTTTTATATCATTAGAATTAACATTAGATGTAGAACTAGAACCATTCGGATTTAGCCGTCTTAAGAGACGTACGGCTAAACCAGATTGATTCTAGTTCTATATCTAGAGTTAATTCCACTTTTAATTCTATAAAAATATACAAAAGTCTAACGCTAAACATCAACTAAAACTAGAACTAACACTAGACCTAGAACTAGAAACGTTCGTGTTTAGCAGTACATCTCTTAAGACGGCTAAACCCGAATGTTTCTAGTTCTAGGTCTAGTTAGTTCTAGTTTTATATCATTAAAACTAGCATTAGACCTGGAACTAGAATCATTTGGGTTTAGCCGTCTTAAGAGACTTACGGCTAAACCCGAATGATTCTAGTTCTAAATCTAGGGTTAGTTCCAGTTTTAGTTCTATAAGACGGCTAAACCGGAATGTTTCTAGTTCTGGGCCTAGTGTTAGTTCTAGTTTTATATTATTAAGACTATCACTAGACCTAGAACTAGAATCATTTGGGTTTAGCTGTCTTAAGAGACTTACGGCTAAACTCGAATGATTCTAGTATAAATCTAGAGTTAGTTCCAGTTTTAGTTCTATAAGACGGCTAAACCGGAATGTTTCTCGTTCTGGGTCTAGTGTTAGTTCCACTTTTAATTCTATAAAAATATAGACGCAGAGCTAAACCGGAATGTTTCTAGTTCTAGATCTAGAGTTAGTTCCAGGGTTAGATCCAGCTTTAGTTCTGTGTTGGTTATTGCAGCATGCTATCTCAATTTGTTGTTGAAATACGTTTCTATACATATCTTGTTTTAAAATACAAAAAAATCCAACGTTGAGGTTAAAATCTCATAACGATGTGGTTTATGAAAAGTGTTAAATTAATTATGGCACACTAAAACTGTATTCAATTTGTTTTCCAACGCTGTTTACTTCGCATTCTTCATCTCACTGCATTCTTGAGATAAGCCCTCCAAATTTGTATTTAGAATATAACTAAGAATGCAGAATTTCAAAACTCATAACAAACTGATTTATGTAAACCTACTTAACCTGCTACATACCTGTTACAACCGTCCAAACACTCTACAAGTTTGAAACGCATAAAATTGGATAGTACTGGATTCTTTCCCAGTCAACTGAAAAGGCACTTGAAGCTTTGTATTATCGCTACTCATTCCAAGGACCAAGAACAACCATTATTGGTGAAACTCTTATCAAACGTTGCCTGTTAGAAAACGCTGATATTCTTCTTGGACTAGAAAATTTTCTTGCATACATGAAAATTGAAGTAGTGGAGGCCGTGAAAGAATCCTGACGTTTATCCTGACTGCCAATCTACTGCTGCCAAATATGATTTTGAGAAGATGGATAAGTTACTATTTTGGGTAAAATATCTTAAAGCGTTATTACAGTTGTAGCAATAAAATTGAAATATGGAAATAAACTTAATATTGCTAGTCATCTACGTTGTGCACTTTCTTCTATCCAACCTAGAATTGGAAATCTTGTCAAAAGTATGCAAGCTCATCCATCGCATTGATTGGTCATTCTTAACGTATGTGCGTGAAAAAGATATTCTTTTGCAATAATATTATTATACCTATTATAAAATTACGACAAGGTGGGTGTCGTATTTTGATTTTAGGTAGCAGTGAGGCATAATAAAAAATACTTTGGGAATCACTGGAATAGAACAATTTGACGAATAACCTGAGCTGGATACTGTCTATTAGTGATGGAACGGATAGTGATTTTGCGAAAAGCCGGATACTGAATATTCGGCATCCCCTTCGGCCGGATATCCGGTTATCCGGCATATCTATCCGGCCATTATGGTTATAATTTCTGGTGCATTTCTGAAGTGACATTGCCACATTATTGCGATATTTGAATAAAAATGAAATTAATAAGAAAGCTGATAAGATATGTCAAAGATGTTTTGATGTTTTTTGATGCTAATTTAACTAACGAAACAACTCTAAAAAGGGGATACTTTAATTAATAATTGGTGATATTTCCACAAGGATCCTTCAAAACTTCAGAGAAAATTTTATCAAAACTTCAAATATTGTTTTCTCAAAAACTAAAAGTTATTTTTCAA